ACTTCGGATGATTCGGTTAATCCGTTTCGGATATCTGACATAAATGGATGGATATCCGGATAAGTCAATGCGGGTAATGGATAACGGATTGAAACTCTAATTCTAGTTAGCTATAACATCATTAACGATTATGCCTTATGCGTCCACGGTCGATCGTAGTATCAAGTATAGGGGGATACAAATAAGGAAAATAGTAATAACTATAGGTGGTACGTAATAAGAAATGTCGGGTATAGGGATATAACGATAAATATAGAAAGTATAAGAAATAAATATGGTAACAAAATCTATGTATCGATAAAAATGACAGAAAAGGAAATGTTCGGTAGCACAATTGTGATATTGGCCAATCAGGATGCAAGATCACGTGTTAACGTGACGATCAAAACAACAATCGCTTTTTTTTTGAAAAGCCACACTTATCGCAAGAAATCATCTTTTATGCACTAACAAAAAAAATTCATTATTTTAGTATAATGTCACCTACTAACCCTAACCCCAAACCTAACTGAGGTGTCACATGTAAATTTGCACGAATAATCCCAGCTGTGGGGGGGAAATTAGTAAATGCTAAAAAATACGACGATCATCGTATTACAATGGCGCAGGAAAAAAAAAAAAGAATTAGGTGACGATAGTAACACCGCGATAAATGATTAATAAGTGGTTAAGATCGACTCTTATTATCAATTATTATATAAGATCTGGTTATTCATAAATTCTTATCCTGGTTTACTTTTGGAGCTAAATTGGTCACTATAATCGTTAAGTCTCTCCCAAACAATAGTAACTCTACCCTGTAACAGCATATTTTATAAAGTAATTGGATTACATAATGATATTTGAAAATTCAAATCCCCCTCCTCCTCCTCGTCCAAACATTGAAATACCTGAGGCAAAAGCCAATTTATTTTCTGTGCTTATTACGTGGTGGGCCAACGATTTAATAAGCTTAGGTTATAAACGTCCTTTGGAAAAAGATGATCTATACGTTTTGAATGACGCGAGATTGGCTAAAATTGTTGCCGATAAGTTTGAAGTCGAATGGAAAAAAGAAACTCAAAAAATTGCGATGGGAAAGAATCCATCTTTATTAAAAGCTCTATACAGAGTTTTGTGGGCTAAATATTGCTTTGCTGGTGTTTGTAGATTTTTTAGTGATACATTAATGGTTACATCACCTTTAATTTTAAAGGTATGTTTCACGCATATTACACTTATATTTCCACGTGATTAGTTATGATGCGTCTCAATATGATAAAATTCTTTCAATATTCTTGATACTTTAGTTAATATTAAATTTTGTTACTGATGCATACTTTGCCAACTCTAATATCGGTATACAACCCACCGCATATGTTGGCTACTTATTAATCGTTGTCTTGTTCTTAATGCAATTGGGTGATAACCTTTTGACAAATCTTTATTATTATTGTGGAATGGAAACCGGTTTTCTCACTCGTACTATTCTCATAACTGCTATCTATCGGAAAGTTTTAGTCTTAAGTGGAAAAGCAAGAAGCTTATTTTCTAATGGAAAAATTACTAATCTAATGTCCACTGATACTTCGCGTATAGACCTTGCATGCAGTTACTTCCACATAATTTGGGCTGCTCCTATTCAATGTTGTATAGCATTGGGTTTGTTAATATTTAATATTGGTCCATCTGCATTAGCTGGGTTTGCTTTATTAGTATTATTGGGTCCCATGCAAGGAAAGGTTATGTCATTATTGGCACGTACCAGGGCTAAAATTGCTAGTGTTGCTGATGAACGGATAAAATTAACTCGGGAGATTTTGTTAGGGATTAGAGTTATTAAATATTACGCCTGGGAAGATAGTTTTATTGATGCTCTTAATAAAATAAGAAACAAAGAGATTAGTTTGGTTAGGTTTTTATTAGTTATTAGAAATACTATTATTGGTGTTTCAATAGTAATTATCTTATAATTATTTTATATTTAACTATGTTTAATTATACCTTTGCTTTTATTTATTTATTTTTTTTATCTCTTTTATTTGTGACTGACACTTATTAGGTCATTCCTGTATTCGCTAGTATCTTAACATTTATAACATTCTCATTGACAGGAGGCAAACTCGATCCTGGAGTCGTATTCTCTTCTTTGGCATTATTCAACGCTCTTCGAAATCCTTTAATAATCATGCCAAAGGCTATAGCCTCTGTTACTGATGGCTATGTAGCAATTAATCGGATAAATGAATTCTTGCAAGCTGATGAATTATCAGTTTTACCGGAAATTAATCCGGACGAACCATGTGCTATTAAAGTTACTAATGGTGAATTTATTTGGGAAAGTGCTCAACCGGAAGAAATTAATGATAAATCAAAAGTCAAGAAAAAAGAAAAAAAATCAAAAAATCATAAAAAAAATGATAAGAATGGAAACGATTCTTCAACTGTTCTTTCTAAGGAAAAGGATTCAGATTCAATAGATGATATCTTTGACATCTCTACAACTTTGACTCCCACAGATTTGGCTAAAAACATTGAAAATTCTCAGCCACTTTTTACAAAATCTCAACTTCGTAACATTAACGTTTCAATACCTCGTGGAAAGTTGATTGCCATTATTGGTTCTGTAGGGTCTGGTAAATCTTCATTATTGTCTGCTCTGGTTGGTGAAATGAAAAGAATTAAAGGAGAAGTCCTATTTGGCGGAAATGTTGGATACTGTCCTCAAACTGCGTGGATTCAAAATGCTACATTCAGGGACAATATTACTTTTGGATTACCTTTTGATGAAGAAAAGTATCGACAAGTAATTAAAGATTGTTGTCTAGAACCAGATTTAAAAGTATTGCCTGCTGGTGACTTGACTGAAATTGGAGAGAAAGGAATTAATTTATCTGGAGGGTATGTTATTGTTTTATTAATTATATTTGTATTAATAATAAAATATAAGTTATATACTGTATTTTTTTTTTAAAAAAAAATCTATTTTGATTCTTTAGACAAAAACAACGTGTTAGCATTGCAAGAGCTTTATACTATAATGCAGATATTGTGTTATTAGATGATCCATTGTCAGCAGTTGACGCACATGTTGGAAAGTATTTATTCACAAATTGTATTCAAGGTGCACTTGCCAAAAAAACGCGTTTACTTGCCACGCATCATTTACATTATCTACCACAAGCTGATTACATAATATGTATGGAAGACGGTGAAATCGCTGAACAAGGAACTTATGAAGAATTAATGAAAGATGGGAAAATTTGTTCGAAGTTTATTGCTGAATATGGTAAGGCTGAAAGTGATAATGAAATAAAAGAAGACAAAGTGCAAACTTTAGATGACGAAAAAGAAAGTAAAAAAGATCAGACAGCTATTTTGTCTAAAGAATTAATGTCAACAGAAGAACAATATAGAGGGGCAGTGAATAATGAAATATATTTGGCATATATTAGGAATGCGGGTGGATTATTATTGATATTAGTCATTATTTTGTTAGTTGCTATGAGGGTAGGAACAAATATTGGGTATGTTTCTCCTTAATAACATTTTGAATTACATACAAATATATAATCTTATACATAATCGAGGAAATTGCTAAGCTTACAACTCTGTCTTTTTTCTTTAGAAATAATTTGTGGCTTTCGTTCTGGTCCAGCAACACATTTGACATTTCAGTAGGACATTATGTAGATACCTTTAAAACTTTATGGAGTCTTAAATTACAGTATAACCAGACGCAACTAATTTATTTATACTATTTAAATGCTAATTTGCATTAATAGATGGGTGTTTATTTCTTATGGGGAGTCGTTCAAGGGATTTTTACTATTTTAAGCAGTGTTGCATTTTCTTACGGCGGTGTTAAAGCATCTAAGAGATTACATAATAATGCAATTAAACGTGTATTAAGAGCACCAACACAGTTTTTTGATACTACTCCTTTAGGAAGAATTATTAATCGGTAATTGTCATATCCAATTTATTGTTAAACATCTTATAATACTTTTTAATTCAAAATCATTTAATATCCAGATTCAGTAATGATATTGACACATGTGACAGTTTACTTTCTGAATCTTATCGAATGTTTCTTTCAACTTTTTCGAACATTATTGGAACTTTTATTCTAATTGCAGTGGTGTTTGCATGGTTTATTATCCCTTTGGTTCCTTTGATTCTACTTTATTATTTAACGGCTCTTTATTATCGGGCATCTAGCCGTGAATTAAAGCGTAATTATCGTTATTATCATTGTCTAATAATAAATTACTGTATATTTACACTTTTCTAAAAAAGTTTTTATGCTGTTTTTTCTTTATTAAGGCATGGATTCCATATTAAGATCTCCGTTATATGCTCATTTATCTGAGACACTTACGGGACTGCCAATTATTCGTGCTTGTCGTGAGCAAGAAAGATTTTTGAGGTTTTTGAAATTTAATGCTTTACTATCTTTAATATAATTTTCTTAATATAATTATCTTTTATTTTCAAAAATAAAATAGAAATAATGAAGCATTTTTAGATATCGAAAATAGAGCATACTTTCTCATTATATGTACCCAACGATGGCTTAGTGTGCGTCTTTTAACCATTGCAAATATCATAATGCTTTTTACAAGTTTATTTGCAATAATTTTTAGATTTAATGTTGTACCTTCAATTACTGGATTAGTATTATCTTATGCACTTCAACTTACATCATTTTTTAATTTGTGTGCCAGACAATTTACCGAAGTGGTGAGTAAATAATATTTCAATAATATATTTTAAGTTACTAATTTTTCATTGCATAATAATAGGAAGCAAATATGAACTCAGTGGAGCGTTTAGTTCACTACATTGATAAATTAGAAGTAGAAGCTGAGAGTATAATACCAGACAACAGACCACCATCTGGATGGCCATCTCGTGGAGAAATTCATATTAACAATTTAGAAATTAAATATGGACTTGATAGTCCTCTAGTTTTGAAAGGCATCTCAGTCAATACTATGGCTGCTGAAAAGATTGGAATTGTTGGTCGAACTGGTAAATTTTAGACTCAGTTTGAGAATTATCAAGATTCGTATATTAAATTCTCATAAATAATAGGATGTGGAAAATCAACATTGGCAACATCATTCTTTAGATTTATTGAAGCAACTTCTGGAAGTATTGTAATTGATGATGTTGATATCAGTACTATTGGATTAAAAGACCTTAGAAGTAATATTACTATCATACCTCAAGATCCAGTACTATTTAATGGTACAATAAGGTAAACAAAAAATCTTGATTCTACATAAATTTATTATCAAATCTCTTCTATTAACTGATTATTGAATTCCTTTAAAAAAAAAATAGAAGCAACCTGGATCCATTCAACGAGCATAGCGATCTCAAGTTGTGGAATACACTTCGTCGTGTACACTTAATTAAAAATTCAAACCCTACTTTTGAAAAAAAAAGAACCAGAAGAATCGAAAGTTATTCATTCTGTTTCGGATCAGGAAAATAATGAACCAATAACGCTTGACTCACCTGTCAAAGAAAATGGAGCAAATTTTTCCCAAGGTCAACAACAACTAATTGCAATTGCTAGAGCGCTAGTTCGTAATTCTAAACTAATAATAATGGATGAAGCTACTGCAAGTACAGATTTCAAGACTGATCATTTAATACAGACTACAATTAGAGAAGAGTTTAAGGATAGTACTGTTATTACTATTGCGCATAGACTGCGAACTATTGTAGATTATGATAAAATTCTGGTTATGGGTATGTATTTTTTTAATGAAATTTTTAATAATTTTGAAATATTAATTCTTTATTTCCAAAAAAATTAGATGCTGGAAATGTAGTGGAATTTGATATTCCATACTTATTAATGCAGAAGCCTGATGGGTGGTTCAGAGGAATGTGTGAAAAAAGTGGTGAATTTGCAGAATTAATAAACATTGCTAAGCAGAAATATGAGAAAATATCATTAGCATGTTAATACACTTATTATTATGCAGATTTATATATGAAAAAATAACTTATATTTACTACGTATAATGCACTTAAATGCACGACAAGCGTTGAACATTTTTCAAAAAATGACTAAAATATTAGTGTATTAGGTATTTAACTAATGTACTTAGTGCTTCAAAAATCTTTTTCTTTAAACCGTGCTTAACTCTTAATTATAATGACTAGAATATTTTGTTTGAGAAATAAGCTGTTGATGAAAAAATACTGTCTACAAAATAAGCTATAGTAAAATAAACTCTATAAATGATTATCTCTTTGTTATCAACTCCATAAATATCAACATAATCACCTGATCCCAATGGGTTGATATTAACGAGAGACGACTGTATTAGCACTAAAGTTAATGAATATTTATTTGATTTGGATAAATTTTTGATTTTTAAAAATTTTAAAAAAAGATTCCGCAGATCCTTAACTGATTTACAAAGAAAAGAAAATATCTATAACCAAAAACTTCAAATTTACATGACTTCATTTCGCTAACATGCAAGTCAACTGGCATCACGCCAGATAGCGATTTACTAGCAATATGATAAAATGCTAAATTGTGATGTCGGTTAAGTGACCTGTGAAGCTACCCTATCATACTAATGCACAGATCATCTGTTAGGAAAATCACACTGTTTGTCACTTGTTTTCAAGTAGGGATTTTCCTATTTTCTCGAAGTCGGTCCACTTTCCCGAAATGCTATTTCTCCGACCTCATAATTCCGATATCCCTTTTTCCGACAAGACCCATTTCTGACAACTTAAGTTCACCGACAGTTTATTTCACCAACAGTCATTTCACCGAAAAGTAACTCCGGTCGTCAGTTTAGAATAAGAGTTAAGGTTAGTGCAGTCATCAGTGAAGTAATTGTTGGTGAAATAAACTTCTCGGTGAATTGAAAAATGGTCGGAAAGTCAAACCGGAACCCATTACCATATATGAATTAAGGATGGTAAAAAATCGCTTTTTAATGATTTTTATGATTTTTAACTTGATTTAATAAAATGTTTTAAAACATTGTTGA